TGATGATCCTTGAGGTCTTTTCCAACCATCATGATTCTGTGATTCTATGATTCCATAGGGCCGGGGGAGGGAGGGCTGGCCCAGCCCTGTTGCCAGGAGAAGTATGCTAGATGAGTGCTTCCTCAGCGCCACTCGGCCGCTCCCCTCTCTGGGCAGGGGTGCCCTGGGGACAGGAGTGCTCCTTGGCCTCTGGGAAAATGTGGCGGGTGCCTCCGGCTGGGGCGGAGTTCAGGTGCGGGGGAGCCATGTCCTTCAGGGTAGGTTGTGAAATGTGTTTTCCCCGCTTTTTATTTTGAGGTGGGAAGGAGTGCTGCCCATGTGCTGCTGTTCACTGACTGGCTTAGGGGTAGCACTTATGGCGACCATACTTGAGAGAGTGGGTACGGGCACTTCTTCCAGCTGCTGGAAATGTAACCCCTTTGGTGCTTCTCAGGAAGCTCCTTTGTAACCTAGCTAAAAACATCTCTGCCCTGCTGGTTCTCCACTTTCATTCCTGGCCTCTCCCCTGCCCTGCCAGGCCTGAAAGACTGTTCAGTTTTAGGTTGGAGATGTTAAGCGCTGAGCGTTTGGGAGAACTGCAAGTGGGCATACTGGAGTTCTTGAGTGTGCAGCTGGAAACAACTCTGTTGTATAATCAGTCATCACATAAGTAGAGAAACACATGGTGAAGTACAAGGTGCTTGACAGTAAGCTAGCTTCAGACCACAAGCTACTAGTGAGATGTTTTTAACTACACGTGAATATTCTTTCTATTAGGGATCCAGTTCTATTATTTCCGTACAGCTTCAGGTTGGTATAACCAAGGGGGCGATGAGGTTGACTCAGCGTCTTGCTTGATATCTGTAGACTTACTACTGGTATTTAGTGGCTTCTGTGCAACCATTATGCACTTTTCCCCTGTGTTAGTTGTCTCATTTTGTTGGGTTTATGTTTTGCGAAGTTAAGCCTTATGTGTCCTGCTTTGACCTGGCTGGCAGACAAACACCACACAGCTGCCCACTCACCCTTCCCACTTCCTGAGGATGGGGGAGACAATCAAAGGGGTAAAGGGAGAAGAGACTCATGGGTTGAGATAAGAACAATTTAATAATTAGAATACAACAAAACTGAAAATAATAATAATAGTACTATATACAAATATACGAATGAGTGATACACAGAGATACTGCTCACCACCCGATGACCAAGGCTCAGCCTGTTCCTGGCTAACGATCCCAGGAACGAAACCAGGATATCCTGCCAAAGTAAATCTCTTCCATTAACTTGCTAAGAGCTCTGTAGTTGTTTTTTTACTTCATGAGCACTAGGTGTCTTTGAAATGTATAAAAAGCATAGTATTATTGTCATGGTGGCCTGTGCATGTAAGTGTGAAAGGATAGGAAGAGGATTATCTTTTTTTTCTAACCTGGTTGTTAATGTAGGATGAGCTAAGTTTGTATATGTAAAGTATACGTATGCAAAAGTTACAGTTGCCCATAATAATGCTGATAAGCTCTGTGCTTATCAGCAACAGTGTGTGTGTGTGTGGTCTGATAGCTATGCGCAGTACTACGTTATTACAGTACATTTCCCAGTATACCTGGAAGAAATTATCAAATGTTCTTCAGAATAAAACCATCTTTTTTTTGCAAATAATCACTCTTGTATGCTTTTATACAGTGTATGGAAAATATTTTTTCACTTGTCGCATACAGGTGATATTCTTGCTCAATGCAAAAATGCATGCCTGGCAGTCTTGGTGCACTTCAAGCTACACGTGACAAAGAGTGTAATCTAAACAATGTTTTCTGGTCTGCAACAGCTAGGACACTGTTATGTGGTAGGAAAGCTCTGAATCACAACTGCAGCTAAGATTTTTGGTGTTCAGACAGGTGACTGATGGCAGTCCAAGATTAGGTATTGACTCTTGTGTCAGGTTATACGTGAAGGTGTTGGTGTTCAAACATACCATGATCAGGAGGAGTAAACTCAGCAGACATTATTCAAGCAGAATTCTTTTATCTATGATTTAGCCTAGATAGGTTTGACTTTCTGGATGTTACCTGAAGAATCACTGTCAATGTTAGAATAAACAAGAGTAGTCACAAAATACCATCTAGTATTTGGGGGGTACTTTGTGCATTATTTTGGACAGTGCAAATAAACTCTGGATTGTCACCAACTTTTTTATCAACTGCTTTAAGCAGTTCAGAGCCCACTGTTGCAATTACAGAGCAAGCAGGACAGCCTGGGTGCTGAACTGGATTCTGCAAGAACTGGACCTTAAGGATGAAGCATCATATGTGGACAATTTACCATTATGATGCAGCACCTGCTTTGTCAATCTGTACTTGTGGTATGTCACAGACAAATATATACATCCTTGGAGCAGATCTCTATAATGCACTTTTTTCCCCACAAAAACCAGTTGTATGCTACACCGCTTAATGGTAGTTAATTGCTACATATAAATGGAACAGTACTTCTATTTACCTTTCTGTTGCTGTGGACATTTTATGTGATGTCATATGGGGACGGATGTTGACAGGGAGTACGTGGTACTTGGTTCTGTGATGCTCATCAGTGAAAATTTATCCTGATAACAAGTACAGGCTGTATTAGAATCAGTCTTAAGCTTAGGCAAACTAGGCAGATGTGTATGGGAGCAAACTACTAAGCTTGACAAAAATCATGCCCTAAAACACACCCAAGACCCTCTGGCCACGGCTCTGTGCTCGCCCTGTGCAGAGCAGCTTCTCTGAGCACCATCTTTGTGGAGCCGCTCCCTAGTTACTCTTCTTCTTCCTACGTCCTCAGCCTGCTGTATGACTGCCTCCTCTGTTCTACTGCTGCTGGGAAGAGGAGCACTGCCACAAAAGTCTGGGGTTTTTTTCCATGCCATTAATGAGGACAAAATAAGGTTTTTTAATCCCCATTTCTGTGAGTGATAAATTGCCGTTCTCCATATGCTTCTGAGGCTGTGGCAGCTCTGACTGTTTATTACAACCCTGCCAAACCTTACAAGTTTTTCATAAATTTAGTGAATGGATAGACAGCTTATGCAACTGAAGGTGTTGTTTCATAATAGATTTGTGCAGTATGGAAAAAGCCTTAAAACGGATAATGTACTGTTGCTTCTAAGCTGGAAGTAGATTTTTCATCTACTTCCTCCTGGAAGTAGATTTTTCATCAATATCCAGTGTTTTCTGTACATGCAACATTTAACAAAATAAAGTTGGAGGAACTAGGAAACTTTAAATTTGTAGACTTTTCAGACTTCATAGCTTTATGTGAGTAATACTAAAAGAAAAGACTTTGTAAACCAAAATTCTATGCATTTGATTTTGAAAAGCTTTTATGTTGGTTTACTTTCATTATTATCAGAGTAAATGCAAACAACTTGCTTTTTTTTTGTTTGTTTGTTTTCCTAACCTTAAATCTGCAGCTTTAAAAACAAAAGGCAGTTTGTGGCTTGTGAGCTTTACTTAACTGGCTTCAGTGCATGCTTGAAAAATTTTACTTAAAGTGTCCTAATTCTGTGCATTCCTATACAGAGAGGCCTGAGATCTGCCCTTATAGAAACTCAGAAAGTTTTTTATAGCCTTACACATTGTCCTGTGTGTGAGAAATTGAACATGATCTCATTTATACCTTGAAACTTGTTCTTTCCAGCAGAATTTCCCTGCAGCCACTGAGTCTCTTTCCAGATGTAGGAGCTTGTTTTCATGCACCTCATGGCTGCTGTAGACCCTCTGTTTATGGAAAGTAATTTTCTAGGCAGCAAACATTAACTTTGCCTCCAATTCTTTTCCCTGCAGGAAGCTGCACAAGCCTTAATTTATGCCGGGATGGCAGGGTCCAACTTGGAAAATATTCAAGAAAAAATAAATGAGTACTTAGAGAGAGTTCAAGCTCTCCATTCAGCAGGTGGGTAAGGAGCTTTCTAATTAAATGTCTGCTTAAATTAATTGAGTGGAAAGCCTTTTGGTGCTGTGAAATATGTATCGATGATGTTTGCTCTGGTTTTCATTATTCTAATTTTCTTGTCCTTTGTGAAGGACCACAAATACAATGAGCACATCAGTGCTTTGAATTCTGATAAATCAGAAATGAAGCAAAGACTTACTTCCTAAGGATTTGGGTGTGGGTGTTCTTTCCTTTTAAATATTCTTAGGAACCACATCTGCAGAGCAAACCTGAGAAAGTAATTAAATATAGCCACAAAAATTGATCAGGAACAAATAAAAACTTATCGTCTAAGTCTCAGCTGCATGATGGATTTGAAGCAAGGGGGTTCTGGTATTTATGTAGAATTACTAATTTTGAGAAGGCAAAAGAGCTCTTTGCTTCCATAAGGGTTTCCTTGTTTGATCCAGTTTCGGTGTTTGTGCTTAGACCAAAAACTCAAATTTTTGCACACCTGCAATTCTCAGTTAGAATCAAAGAACCAGACCGTGGGAGGTCTATAGCCCAATCTCCTGCTGGAAGCAGGGTAGATATTGATTTTTGGACCAGGCTGCTCGGATCCAGTCCTGGTGCCTCTGGGCCTCTGTTCCAGGGTGCATCTGTCTTTCCAGTGATTTTATTATTTTTTTTAATGTATCTAGGTGGATTCTCCGCAGGACCCCAAGCCCTTCTCCACAGAGCTCTACCGTGCAGGGTGTTAGTCTGTCCCAGACACAGGGCATAGCATTTGTGTTGGCTGAGTTCTCTGAGGTTCCTGTCAGCCCATTTCTTTAGCTTGTCTGTGTCCCTTTGAATAGAAGCTGTGTCCTTGAGTGAGTTGGTTTGGTGGGCTCTGCAGCCTTGATGAATGCGTGCTCTTCTTCAGGTCATTAACAACTGTGTTAAATGAAATAGACACCTAAGCAACTTGTAAGTTAGGGTGTGATGTGTTTTCACAAATGATGCAATATTTTGCATAAGTAAACATCCTTGTCCTCAGTGTAGCATGAAAGAAGTTTTATTTATGTTATTGGACATGTGAAATATCCTGAGTGTGTATCTCTGTAGGGGGGGAGGGAGGGAGTGAGCCGGGGGTGATGGTGTTTTCTTGTCCTCGCAAAGATGTTTTTAGAAAAGTTTAGAAATATTTGGTTTCCAGCCAAGAAATAGATACTACCCATCTGATTAGAACTGCTAGTGTTTCAGTACCGTGTTACGGGTGTTTTGACATGTCTGCTGCTGTAGAAAGCTAAATACTTTCTTTTTCATTTAGTTCAGTCACAGAACACAGACCCTCTGAAATCAAAACAACAGCTGGACTTGGAGCGTGCTCACTTCCTAGTTACACAAGCTTTTGATGAAGATGATAAAGGCAATGCAGAAGAAGCTATAGAGTTGTACACAGAAGCGGTGGAACTCTGTTTGAAAACAGTATGTTAAGCTACAGGTTAACTTGGTGGAATTATGTGATGGTAAGGAATTCTTCCACGTACACAAGTGACTGACACTTAGAGGCTGGCTTAAAAATGGAGTACCTGTATTTCTAAAAACTTTTTTTTACTCTTTTTTTTCCACTGTTTTTTTTTTTTTTTTTTTTAGTGTTTCTTCCAGTCTTTATGTTAGGTTGCTATTCAACACTGTAAATTTATGGGGACTTGTGATTTTATATGTTTTTCCCAAACTGGATTATTCTAAAAACTAGAAAGATTATGGAACTTTTTTCATGTTAATTTTTGCCCTGGAGCAATTGCAACACTAAAACAGAAATTAAAACCAGTTAAAACTGAAGATGACTTGCTCTAATGTGTCAGCTATATTACTTTCTGACTACACTAAAGGAAGTAATTTAAGGGAAATCTTTGTGTGTAACACTTTCTGAAAACATAACCATCTACTGATGCCAAAACTAGTAAAAATACTACTTGATTACTCAGTGCTCAATATTAAAGTTGTTATGATTGAATTCAGTTCACACTGAAATTGTTGGTAAGGACGAATTGGCCGTTATGTAAATGATGGAGAATATAACTACAGGTACTGCTTTTTTCCCTTAAGTCCAGATGCCTTAACTAACTTATTACAGGAAGAGCTCACCATCATAATGTAAATCCACCAAGTCTGTTTTTCTTTTTCCCTTCTTTTCCCTTTTTATAATGTAAATATACATGGGTTGTTGGGAGGGAAGTGTTGCTTTTGCTACATGATAGAGTAAAATCTTCTTGTCTCTGAATTCTGTAGGGTTTATGTAGGCTGAAAACCCCTGGTGATACAGTGTGACCAGATCAAGAGTTAGTAGAACTGCTGTAGTTTTTCCCCTTGGGCTGTTGGAGCAGAACATTTTCAGTCTATTACATAAACATACTCTGTCCTGTGCTGTGTTCCTCCTTCTGTCCTGTCAGTGTGTGAAATATTACTTACATATATTGAAGTTAGTCTGAAATGATCTCATATTAACAACTGCTTTTGTTTGGGTATTTCATTAGGTACAGATACTGCTGAAGTTTCTGTTAATCTTGACTAGCATATTATTTTGTTAAGATGACTGTAGGCTTTGTCCCTTGGGGTGATCAGAAAGTACCTTCTTCTTCGCAGGATGCAAGAAGATTGAAGGAACTCTGCTATCTTGAAGCTTTGCTTCTGTCTTTCTCCTCATGTATGTTCAGGTGGAGAGATTTGTTTCTTCCTTACCCTTGAAGTACTCGGGGAGCAGCCATTCCTCCTTCTCTATGGCTGGCTCCTAGATGGGTGTACTGGTGTTCCATCTCCACTGCTTACCTTCGTACATCTTTCAAAGTCTTCTCCAACCAGGAACTCTGGGGTGTAATTTGTCAGCAAATGAAAATAGTTGCTTGTAGAGGGTGTTCCTGGTTTTGTTTACTGGGGTGAAAGTAGCTTGCCTTTTGTTTCCTCAGCTGACATAGCCGACCAGAGAGAATCAGTCAAGGTACAAAGCTAGAACCTGAAACCTGCATCTGGGTGTCCCAGGAGAAGCCACACCTCATATTATCCCTCTTGCAGTAGCCATGCTTCATCTATACGGAAAACAAAAGCATAAACTGGTTGTATGAGGAAACTGGCATAGCTGACCTCCCAACCGGCAGCAGAAGTTATCACTCTTGATAATCTCTTTTGGTGCCCTGTCATAGATTATTTTATGCCTTAAATGTGCAAGAACAAGATTTTTGACTTGCAAACAATCTTGTTTATTTGTATTTTACGAAAGTAAACATTCAAAGATATTTTTTTCTTAAGTTACCAAGATTATTTTTTACTTATTTGGGAAAAATAATTGGAACACATCTAAGCTCAGTAATATACCCAACATTTGTTTTTGTCTTCTTTCTGCCCATAGTGTTTTAATATGGTTAATTCTTCTGTCAGATTTTTTTGTGTGTACAATGTCACCCATGCTGAAGAATTTTAAATACCACTTTCGTTCCATGAACATTCACTAGAACAGCAAAATGATATTTGCTTCCTTAGTATGCTTTTTATGCTGAGATTTAAAAAAAAACATATTTGCTTATTCAAAAGAGAATTGGAAAAAAATAGCTGGTTACTGTTTGCTGTAATCTATAAGTGTGGAATTTTACAAACTGAGCCTATAAAACCTGAGGGTTTTTTGGATGTGTAGCTTTTTCTTTTGTTTTGCATTTAAGGCTACTGAAACTTCAGAAGCAGGCCTCCAGTCCAAACTGAAACAGCTGGCTCGACAAGCGCTGGATAGGTGAGTATTGCCGATGTTACTAAACATACTTTCTGTCAGGGATAAGTGCGCTCTGAGCTGGATTATCAATCTAGCGTGTCTGTTCTGTACTGCAAAGAGTATGGATTCAGGGCAGACTTAGTTCCTGTCGAGCTCTTCTGGCAGATAGCTGCCAGCTGCTATCCTG